TCATCCCCCACTAAGAGCATTTTCAAAGGGGCTCAGTCTTCCAGACCTGGAAACTTAAATCAAGAGCAAATTTAGGAAGAGTTCTGGTTTTCTACCATGAAAGACTACGTATCCTGGTCCATAAGAGCAGTTCAGCCTTCCCTGAAGAGCATAAACTGGAATCTGTCACAGGCTCGATACAAGGTCCTGAAATTTCTAAGCATTTTCTGATGATGGTGTCTAACATGTAAACTCACTATTTTGCCTGTCTAATGAGTTAAAAGACTCAATTTTTTTGAAATGTCAGTGTTTTCCTATGAGGAAATATGGCCTAAACTTTCCCCAAATGTCTGCTGGGATGAAAGTGAACATCATTATCAGAACTAGATATGTACGATTAATAAGTTTTTCATTTCAATCAGTTAATCCAATGAAATCTTGCATTTCATTTCTAACACCATTTTCTGGTCAGTAACAACAAGTATGAAGTCTGGTGACACAAAAATGTCAAACTGGTGGCATCCATCTGATGTCAAGAGCAGCAACAACACTTTTACAGTCTGCTGGGTTTCTCCACACAGAAGCAAACAAACAGCCCAAGGGTAATCTATTTCATCCTGTAACAGGGTGCAGTGGGAACAGCCTCCTATCTAATGAATAAGATCACGGTTTCCATGCCTTTGAAGAAGGACTCAGGATGAGAGACTGGTTGCTGGAGTGCACAGGAACAAACATTGTGGTTGTCATATTCCAGCACCCAGAAAAATGGCTTGTGTTTAAACTTCCTATGCTGAAAGGTCTGCAAATTTCACTGCCATTATATTATGTAGAACACTTGCTTCCAACATCAAACCTTGAGGAACAGATTTTGCTGTCTATGACTATCTTGTTTTCTGCTATGCTGTTCCTCCAGTGCTTTACTGTACACATACCTGACCAAGTTTTCAGATACTAAACCCAGTTTTAAAATAAAGAATGCAATGTAGCTCAAGAATCTCAGCTGAAAAATTTTAAGTGATTTCACTGACCTACATTAATCAATGAATTTATAGCCTCCAGCCAACAGGCAGGTGAGTAATTATTTTTATAAAGTAATCTTTGGTGTACCAGCCTATTTTTTTAGTAAAAATGCTACCAGTAGAAATCCCATGACACAGGCTTCTCTTACCAGTTTCTCCTAAGAGACTAAAGACCTCATTTCCAATATACTGAAATATTACTGTACTGTGAACAATGTCTGCCAGCAAATAAGATAGAGAAGTTTTAGTTCTCAGTCAAATGAGTTTTTGGTGCTACCAGTGAGTGAAATTTAGTTCAACTCTGTCATCCTTTTAATTCTGTCTACAAGAAAATGCTAACAGAAGGAAAACTTGCAGATTCTCAGTTACTGCTGAAAAATCAGTACTTAGGGAACAGACTTGTTAAGCAAGCAGGTATTATATACAAATATATTTTTCTGTTGATAGGCACTGGTAAAGTATCTGTACGTTATGTGTTTTAAATTATTTTATACAATTGCTAATTATTAAGTGTCTGAAGACCTATTTAATCATTCAAAAGCAATCTCATTATTCTTAGTGATTATTTCTCAACCATGAGATAAAATGTGAAAATAAATAAATTACTAATAACAGTCTATAATACAGTGAATTACACGAAAAAACAACAACCATTTTTTAATGTGCTATGAGTAATTTAGGAATATTCTCCTGCTTGCAAAGATACATGCTGAAATATTTCTTTACAGCTAATCTAGTATTTTGCCACTTTTGGAACAATACCAACTGCAGGATAATTTAATATGCATTAATTCCTGTTATTAATTCCTCTTACTAATATGCATTAATTCTGATTTCCCTTTATAGTAACAAATGAAAACCAGTATCTAGCAAAATAAAAAAACTGTCCTTTTACTTATCACAAGGCCATAACTCAGAAGCATGACAATGCTACTTTACTGCAACAGGGAGTGCGAACTGATGTGTTCCCTTGAGTTCACATGATGCCTAAGCATCAGCTCTTAAAGCTCCTGATTTTTCTACTAGTCACCCCTTCAGTCACTAACTGAACTGAATGAATCTCTCTACAGCCCAAAGCAAGAACAAAATCAATAAGATTTGGTAGCATGCATCAATTGTCTGATTGTAAATGTATTTATCAAAAGACAATTTTCCATAATTAAGTCCAAGTCAGTTAAAATTTACAAAGTTGCAATTTGAAAATACCAAGTACTGTAATTGAATCTTTGGCTTTATAATGAGAACAAGAAAGACAATATTCCAAGATGTTATTAATGGACACTTCCATCTACATTAAGCTGGTTTTCTTTCCTAACAATATCCCTTACTAATAAGATGCTTGCAAGATTGTTCCTTCTTGACCCTTTTCCCTGTACAGCACTATGGATTACTTATTGGTATTTTAAATTATATAATTACCCAGTTATCTGAGGAGATTGTGGACCAGAACAACATTACCACCACCAACAACAAAAATCTGTTCTTCATAAATTACCTATATTAACAGCAAATAGTTGCTGGGCTGCCTCTGATTTCCTCTCTTTTTAATCAGGCTGTTTGCTCTACAGTGACTAAAATATTTATGTATGCTCCTCTGAAAAATCTCAGCCAAAGCGACTAATAATCATGGTCCCTAGGCAATTTCAATGGGCCCTGGATACCTCTCAAATGTGTTGGAAACCCAGACATTATTTTTAGAGAATATTTGTATTTCCAATTCTTTACCTTTAATTAATATATCTGTTTCCTCATTAAACAGGTAATTTAAATACCTCACCTTCAATATGAAAAAAAATGAGAATGTTGTTATAAGATCCGTGTCACTGTGATTATGGCTGTGATGCTTTTTATTTATGACAGTCAAAGAAGGCAAGCAATGTTCATTCACCGATACATCTGGATATAGTAGCAAAGCACTGCAACAGCTGAGCCGTACTTCAGTAAATCACATATGTTCCCTATTCAGTATTTGAATGTGCAACCCTTAAATGCACACATGCGAAATTGTCTCTCAGAGATATGCATTCCCATTAATTTACTTAGTTTCCATGAAAACTGGAGTTAGGTATTCCCTAATTAACTGAATGAAAGGAATTTAGGAAGTTTTTTTTCTGCTGTTAGTTATTCTCATTTTTACATCTATTTTCACAGTCGAAAACCTGCTTCATCTGCAAATTACGCATTTCAGGTAATGTTTCATGGCAGAAGCACAGAAAATGGAGTAAATCCTCCATGGCAAATGAAGACTGACTAGCATGTGTGCGAGCAGCCAGCTATCATACACATCTTCCTTGTTAGTATCATGTGAGCTCCTCGCTGCTCTCCCCGCCGCGTTCCCGGCCCAGGGCTCGCACGCCTAGGGAGGAACGCGTTCGCCTTCAGCACACGCGAGATGCCGGCTTTGCCAGGAAGGCTTTTTACCCCCCCCTCTTCCCACTAGGTGTGTTTTCCCTCCCCAGGCGGGATGTCGCTGCGGTGGCTGCGCCGGGGGCCGGCAGCCGGCCCCTCCCAGCCGGGCTGTGACTCAGCACCCGCAGGCCGCGCTCGGGGCCCCGCCGCTCGCTGCCCGCCGCCGCCCGGCCGCGGCCCCGAGCCTTCCCCGGCGCACGGAGCGGGCAAAGGGAGAAGCCCCGGGCATGAGCAGGTGGGGTGCGGCTCCCGCACAAGGAATGCCTTCCCAGACACAACGGCGGGTTCAAAACTGCCGCTTCACTCCGATGATCGCTTGCTTTCAGTCGGGCAATACCAATTACGCCTGATCTCTGGTGCAGCGTTTTTCCAGCTATTTGGTAATTAACAAGCAAACACATAGTGTTCACTGAGACAGGGCTCCGTATGTGTTGCTGTGCAAATGTGGTGTAAGGACTCGGGGATCCAAAACTGGCCCATCAGGCTTTATTAGATGCAAATGTAAAATTACAGTGTAAACTCAAAATAAAAAGGCATTTACCCAAGGAAGGGTAGCATCCTGTTGTGAATGCCTATAATGCTTATTGGCAATACCTTGCTCTTTGAGAACACACAGCTTTCAGGTTTATTAAACTAGCTATTTCTCAATACTCTCTGACAATATATCTCTTAGAAAGTATAGCTCTGTCTTCAAGCTACTGAACACAAAAGCTAAAGCATTTGTACTCCTTTTTCCAAAATACAAAAATCTACACGTGCAAAAAATATTAATGACATAGAATATTTCAACATTTACTGTGGTAAATAATTTAATTTAATTTAAAAAATGAAATTTAAGTTATCTTCTTTTAAAGGTATCTTTACTGTACATCTGTATTAGTTAGACAATTTTCTTGAATGTATCAAAAACTGTCAAATTTTAAAAATGTAGAATGCTTTTAAATTTTTTTTAAATTTCCAGCAAATTCCATAATTAGAAATAGCTGTACTTATATGTAAAATTTCTAAGACTGCATAGTTTTCTGAAGGACAGTAAGGACAGGCTTGTCTATTCACTGAATAAAAGCCCAGATTTTTATTCAAAATGTAACAGTATGATCATCTTCGTTATTTACATGACAGACAAGCAATAGATTCTGGGATGCATTTTCCTGGCACACATTTTACTGTAGCTTGCAAATGTTACAGAAAATTTACAGAAAGAGGAAAAAAGTCAATGAGATTTCATTGTCATTATTCACTTAGGACCTCTAATGAAATAGATCATGTTATTATATTGATCAGCTTAGTGACTGTCCTGCCCCTCCCCACAACACACTCATCTACAGCAGACAAAAACTGATCAGAAATGTACACTCTCGAATAAACTGCAGGATTCAAACACAATATATTTAGTCTCAGCAACATTTAAACAACCATTTAAAAATAATCAGACTAGTAGGATCTCTGCAGTTATATCCACCTGAGAACCCTGACTCTGCATTCCAGCCCAGGTATCTGAGTCAATGCAACCACACTGCATCATCATAATCCTGTCTCAGCATATTCCCTCTACTGCACTCAAATCCACAAATAAAAAATACCCCTTTTTACCTTAGATGGTGAATTCCTTCTTGTCCTTTTGTTCATAGTAACTATTCCAAGTTTGCACCTTTGAAAAAATACAAGGATGGTTATACCAGTAAACTTCCCAGATCCTCTCCTGCGGCAGAAAGCAAATTACAAGGGGAAAAAAAAAAAAAAAAAAA